TCAAGGCTTCAAGGGGTATCAGAAGGTAGAGAGGAGGAGGAAGGACATTCCGGGCACGGGGGACACATGTGAAAGTTACAGAGGTGGGAGATCGAATGTCATACACCTCAAGCAGGCCAATTTGGCTAGAATTGGGAGAGTGGGAGGGAGGTAATGGGAAATCAGACTGATTTCCCATTTCACATTTCTGAAATACTCAAACCATCGCCAATGCCTTAGTGTTAAGCCAAAAGCAGAGCTGTCTTTGCTCTGTCTGAAACTCCATATGGTGGTCATTTTTAGATTGTGTTAACTCATCTCTCCAGGGCTCCCGAGCTCTCCCACCCCTAGATGATACACTTGATGTCAGCAGGTTTCTGTGAATTCTGTGCACTCTCCACTGCTTTCCCATTCTTCTTTATGGTGTTAAAAAAAAATTGGATTCCAGTGAATTGCCTGGATTCCTAGGTCCTGCTCTGTGCTCCATCTTTCCATCAGGCGATTATTATTCTCCCTTCCCATCCCAGTGATCATAGCTGAGGCTGAACATCGGTGGGAAATGGGTTTCCCTCATCAGAGGCTGGGGCAAGCAGCTATTTTCTTCTCTTGACTAGGCTATGTTCAACCTCAAAATCCCCAGGGGAAGGTTTCCACTGCCTTTAAAAAAAGAGCCCCTCCCTCCTTTTATATACTCTAGATTACAGGCTTGCAATGTTTGAATTCTGTTCTATAATTTCCTTAAGAGCCACTAAAAATGCCCAACTTTGTGCTCTGACAAACTTTTCCAAGGACGGCCCTCTGCCACAAGGAAGGCTTTTTTGCTTCCCTCTAAGCAATTCTGACATTTCAAGGGATTTCACACTCCCAGAGGCTGAGCAATTCAATGCAATCCAGTATTAGTAAATTAATCATTTTGTATTAATTAATAAAAATAGTAACTATTAAGCACCTACTATGTGCTAGGGAAACAAAACCCATGCCTGCTCTAAGCCAAATTATTAACCTGTTAATTGTCAGAAATAACAAATTCCCACAGCCCTCTGTCAAGCAAGAGGAATCCTTCAGTTCAGAGGCAATGCTTCCAAACAGCATTCCAATGAAAAAGCTGTAATGGCTGCATTTTACCTTTTATAGTTTCCTCACCTGTTTTACATCCTTTCAAAATTATCAAGAATAGTTGGGCTTACTCCTATTTCTTTGGCTTCTATTCTGAATTACAGATTTAGAGCTAAAAGGGACCTTAGATATCAGCTATCTAACCCTTCATGTTACAGAGGAGGAAACATGAGGGGCCCAGAGGGGTGACTTGCACAAGACTTCCCAGAAAGCAAGTGGCAGACTGGGATTTGAGCCCTTGTCCTCTGATGAAATCCCATGCTTTCCCTATGACTCCAGGATAAGACTGCATAATTATAATGTCCCAGAGAAAAGTTGAGAAAATACTTCCTTTGTCTTAAGAGGTGGTGGACTACGGATATGGAATATTGCCTTTACTGATAAATATGGTCATTGTGTTGGTTGATTTTGTTAAGTTGTATAGTTCTCTTTTTTCAATTTTATTACAGAGCATGGTTCACTGGATCAGAGAAGGGAAATGACATCTTCAAAAATGAATGTGATGTAAAAAGAAAACGTATAAATAAAAAGAAGATTTTTTTTTTAAAAAGACTCTGCCTGAAACTCCATATGGCGGGCTTAGCCATAGGGCTTAGTATAAACATTTCATTAATCAATAAACATTAAGCACCTGCTACGTGGCAGGAACTCTACTAAGCACTGGGGATAAAGAAGGAGACAAAAGACAGTCTCTACCTATGATGAGCTTACAATCCAAATTTCTAACAGGTAAAACAAAGTGAGTGGCCCTCAATTGGGGAATGCCTGGACAGGCTGTGGCATATGAATAGGGTGAGATATAATGATGTTGTTAGAAAGGATGACTATGAGGAATTCAAAGAAACATGGGAAGACTTTTATGAACAGACACTGAGAGAAATAGAGAGAAGTAGAGAAAATGACATACAATGACTGCAAGCATGTAAGCGAAAAGAATGCTAAGGATGCTGAACTCCGAGTAACCAGCATGACCAGTTTTGGAATTAAAGCCCACATAATGAAACACGGCACTCTCTTGAGGAGAGTTGGAGCCCCATAGGGCAGAATATTGCCAACAATGCCATCCATGTTTGTTGTATTGGTTTTTGTTTAAGTATTCATCTCAAAGTGAGATGTATTTATCATTCTTTTTAGTGAACAGTTCAGATTGAATGCTAAATAAAGTAATAATAACTAACATTTTTATACAGTGCTTTAGGATTTTCAAAGCACTATATAAATATGATCTCATTGGATCTTCTCAACAACCTTGGGAAATGGGTTCTATTAGGATTCCCATTTTACAGATGAGGAAACAAAGGTGAATAGAAGTTAAGTGACTTACCCAGGGTCACACAGCTAATAAGAGTCTGAAGCAGGATTCTAACTCAGGTCTTCCTGACTCCAAAGCCAGAAATCTATCTACTTTGCTAACACACTGCCAAATTCTATGCTTCTTTTGTTAGAAGGGCATGTTCAAGCATTGAGTAGAGGTGGGAGAAATTGTCTAGAGGTAACTGATGCAAGAACAGATAGCATCAATAAACTTTGTGGTTTTTTTGAAAAAATAAAACAATCTTAGGCAATCATTTATCAAAAAATAAGCATTTATTCTGCATGTACTCTGTGCCAGGCTTAGCCATGCTAACATGTTATTTTTTATCAAATACAAATACATGCATGCACACACACACACATACACACACACACACACATGCACCATTCTATGACATTACCAAGTAAGGTAGTAAGAAACTCTATTTTTAATGAAAATATGAAGAACAAGAGTCACAAAACTATTGAACATGAATACTGCAAAAATTGTAAAGAGCAAGTTTGGTCCCAAAGAAGAAATAGGAGATGACACATAGGGGAAGATCTACAGATATGAAATATTTCAGAGAATATCAGATTTTTTTTCAATGTATTATTCAGTTTTGCTTAATTTTTTTCTGTTTAAAAAATTCTCTTCAGAGAATGGATAAAGAGAAGGATGGAAAGGTAGATGCAGAGGCCAGATATATCAATAAAATCTATTTTTAAAAAAGATTAGTTCTCCACATACGTATACAACCAATACCATGGTCTTACTCACTCCCTGAGAGGTCATGAACAGACCTGAATGCATCACACGGCACTGCAGCAAATCGTTTATCACTCAAACATTCCTAAACATGGAAATGTATAATTCTAGTTGTTGATTTCTGTTCTTTCCAGCCAAAACAAATTGCTTTACCTTGCCAGAGGCAATAAGACAAGATAATTAAGAATCAAACAGTGTTATCTTCCCAAAGGTCCATTCACGATCACTTCAAGTAACATTTACGGCAGCAGCATGATCATAGTAGGCAGCCTTGCTCTTTTCACAAAGGTTTTTCTGCTCAATGGTAAAACCCTGTGCCCAGACCAATGGCCACCACAAACTGAGCATCACTTTACTTGAGGGCAAAGATAAAGCTATTCAGATGTGGCTGCTAATAACAAGATGGTGCTTATTTTTGCCAGCCCCAATATCATCCTAGAAACTCTCCCCGTTTTCCCACAGAGAACTGGGATGTTCTAAAATGCAAGAACAAATCAGAGTCACAGCATGGTAGACATTGCAAAAACAAATGAAAAGGTATTATTTGCAGGTGTTGCAAAAACAAACCAAATTATAGTAACATGATGGGAGTCCCAAAAATGTGCCAAATGGGAAACTAGTATTTCAGGTGTGGCAAAAATAGTCAAAGTGGTTGTGACGGGAAGGGTATCACAAAAAAAAAAAAAGGGTTTGGCATCACAAAAATAAACAGGATGATAAGATGGTAGGCAGTGCTGAAATAAACCCAAGGACTCAGTATTGTGGGTATTGCCAAAACAAACTAAAAGGTATTAACATTTCATGGGTTATAAAAACCAATGTTTAGTAACATGATGAGCCTCCCAAGAACAAACCAATATATTAATATCATGGGCATCATAAAAGCAAGCCAAATTGCAACAATATGGTAAACATTGCAAAAACAAGCTTAAGGGTATTAATACTTCAGTCATCACAAAAAAGAAACTACAGGATAATAATATGGTAGGCATCCCCGAGACAACTCAAACACTGACAACTTGATGGGCATTGCAAAAATAAATCAAAGGATATTAATACTGCAGGCATTGCAAAAGGAAACCCAAGGCAACAACATTGCAGGCATTATAAAAACCAACCAAAGGGTATTAGCACTTCGGGAACTGCAGAAACAAACCAATCCTCAAAATAAACCACAGGGTGACAACATGGTGAATGTTATTTAAAAAAAAAATAACCAAATAGGATTAATACTTTGGGAATTATAAAAACAAACCAATCCTCAAAACAAACCCCCAAGCTAAAGGGTGACAACATGGTGGACATGTAAAAACTAACAAACAAACAAAACAAACAAAAAAAAACAACCAAAGGGCATTAATACTTCAGGAACTGCAAACACAAACCAATCCTCAAAACAAACCACAGGGTGACAACATGGCGGACATTGTAAAAAACCAACCAAACAGTATTAATACTTTGGGAATTATGAAAGCAAACCAATCCTCAAAACAAACCCCCAAGCTAAAGGATAACAACATGGTGAACATTGTTTAAAAAAAAATAACCAACAACCAAAGGGTATTAATACTTCTGGAATTGCAAAAACAAACTTATCCTCAAAACACACCACTGGTGACAACATGGTGGACATTATAAAAAAAAAAAAAACAGCCAAACGGTATTAATACTTCGGAAATTACAAAAACAAACCAAACTAAAGAGTGACAACATGGCAGATGTTAAAAAAAAAAAAAAGGGTATTAATACTTTGGAGAAGTGAAAAAAAAAAAAACCACAAACAAACCAATTCTCAAAACAAACCAAAAGGTGATAGCACAATGGATACTGTGATAAAACTCACCAGGGTATGTGTGAGCCGGATAGTGATCAGAGGTGATCCTGACAAGTTCTGGGACAACACTGGTGGTGGTTCTACCTTCAGAGAAATAAGGTAACTGGTAGCCAGTATCAAGTGCTTTTTGTAGTTGACTGCTTCAATGATCCTTGAAAGTAAATGGAAACAAATGGAAAAATCATTACAAACTGCCCAAAGGGAAGGAGTGAAAAAAGAAGCAGGTAGCTGGAAGCCACTTTGAGCTTTCACATTAGATTTCAGCTGCATCTAGGGAGCACCAGGGTAAGCTTAGGTGAGCTCCTTTCTCTCTGTGAACTTCAGGGTTCTCATCTATATAATAAAAAGGTTAAACTAAATGGTCCCTTTGATCTCTTCCAGCTGTAGACCTAAGATCGTGTGAATGACTTTATATTTTTTATACTGAGCTTTGCAATTTTCAAACAAAATGCATCTCCATCAAAGACTTAAATTCCTAAATGAATATGGAACGCAGGCTCATTGAGGGCAGGAACTAATTTTGTTGTATGCATAGCACCTATCTAGTATAGTCACTGAAACTAGCAGATTCTTGACAATCAATAAGTCTAATAGAATGTAAGCTTGTTGAGATCAAAAACTGTTTCTTTTCTTTTTCTTTTTCTTTCTTTCTTTCTTTTTTCTCTTTCTTCCTTTCTTTCTTTTTCTTTCTTTCTTTCTTTCTTTCTTCTTTCCTTGCTTTTTGTTTCTTCCTTCCTTTCTCTTTGTTTCTTCCTTTATTCCTTCCTTTCTTTCTCTCTTTTTGTCTTTGTAACTCCAGGGTCTGGCATAAATGGTAGGTACCTAATAAATGGGCAGCTGGGTAGCACAGTAGATAGAGCAGTGAGGCTGGAGTCAGGAAGACTTATCTTTCTGAGTTCAAAATCTAGCCTCAGACATTTACTTGCTGTGGGCAAGTCACTTTACCTTGTTTGCCTCAGTTTACTCATCTGTAAAATGAACTTGAGAAGGAAATAGCAAACCAATCCAGTATCTCTGGCAAGAAAACCCTAAATGGGGTCACAAAGAATCGGACACAACTGAAAAATAACTAAACGACAACAAAAACAAACTTAACAAATGCTTGATGATTGATTGAATGAATCAATCCAGTGTTTATTAAATATCTGCTATGTGGCAGCCACTGTGCTGGGCATTGGGAATACACAATTGAAACAGTCCTTGCCACCAATAATCTTATATTATATTGGAGTTATGTTTTATCTTCCTTATAAAAACAAATGTTTATTTAGTTGAATTAAATTGAATTAAACCACTAACCCAAAAGAAACTAAGCTTGATTAACATTAATCCTGACTCTATTGAGGGGAGGAGTAATTGTATTGATGGATAAGCTCCATTAACCACATGCACCTGAATGATAGTCAAATACCCACACTCTCAGTTGAATAAGATAGATGGCCCAATGGGTAGAGCACTGAACCTGGAGTCAGGAAGACCTGAATTCAATCAAGCCCACTTCTCAGACACTGAGCACTCTCATGCCCTGGGTTGTGTGAAGATCAAATGAGATAATACAGTGCCTGGGACATAGTAGGTGCTTTTTTGTTGTTCACTTGCTCAGTCACGTCCAACTCTTCCCAATCCTATTGGGGGTTTTCTTGGCAAAGACACTGGAGTGGTTTGCCATTTCCTCCTCCAGCTCATTTTACAGATGAGAAAACTGAGGCAAACAGGGTGAAGTGACTTACCCAAGGTCATACAGCTAATAAGTGTCTGAGGCCAAATTTGAACTCAGGAAGATGTGTCTTCCTGACTCCAAGTCTAGCACTCTATCCACTGCACCACCATTCTAGGTGCTTGATAAATGCTTCTTCTTTTCTTCAATTTAAAATTTGCAAAGCACTTAGTATGATAATAACAATAGCTAGCATTTATATAGCACTTGCCATATGCCAGGCATTGTTCTAAGCACTTTACAATTATGATCTCACTTGATCCCCACAACAGTCCTGGGAGGAAGTTTCTATTATTATCCCCACTTTATAGTTGAGAAAACCGAGAGATTAGATGATTTGCCCAGGGTCACCTGGTAGGATTTGAACTCAGATGTTCCTAACCCAAATCCCACATTCTGTCCACTGTGCCTGCCACCTAACTGCCTCCATTGCTATCTTTGGTTCGTCCAGCTCTCTTCCAGATGTATCATTGCCCTACATTCAGCCTCAAATTTTGTGTAAGAATATCACAGCAGATGTTATTAAGCCATTATCAGGATTTTCCCATCCCCTCTGCTTCATGGGTATTCAATCCCTGCTGACCCAAGCAGTATTGAAACACTCATCCCATGGTGTATCAGCTTCTACTTGCACATTTCCCAGTCATTTAATTGATATGGTGCTCTGTGTTTTCAGGCTGCATTGAACCATGGGAATCATACTGGATTTGGACTGAAATCTGGGATCAAATCTCATCTCTGCCACTTCTACCCATATGACCTTGGGTAAACTGCTTATAACCCCTGTGGGCATTCAGTTTTCTCACATAAAATGACAATATAGATTTGAGATTATGAATCCTTCCTCCTCGTTGGCAATCTGAGGTCCCCAGCACACACGCAGCTGATTGGTCTCCCAGGGTTCCATCTTCAAGGGAAAGAGATCACTCAGTGGTACTTTTTCCTGTGTCTCCTTCCCAGAAATGGTATAGCTCTGTCTCCCTAATCTAGGCATTTCCTGCATTTCTTCATTCTGACCTTTCTTAATCAGATTCAACGTATCTTTCTAGGTTGATTACACACTGTGAAGCACTGAGCACAGTGCCTGGCACATCAATGTTTGTTCCCTTTCATTCCCTTCTCTTCTTCCCGTTCAGACACTCTTTTGTTGTTGTTTGGTCATTTTTCAGTAGTGTCTGATTCTTCATGATTCTATCTGGAGTTTTCTTGGAAAAGATACTGGAGTGGTTTGCCATTTTGCTCTCCAGTTCGTTTTATGGATGAGAAAACTGAAGCAAACAGGGTTAAGTGACTTGCCCAGGGTCACACAATTAGTAATTATCTAAGGCTAGATATGAATTCAGGTCTTCCTGACTCTATTCACTGTGAACCCTATCTAACCACATTGCTTCTACTTGGCCCTTATATAGAACTATTAGTGTGATGTTTCCTGGGCCCCTAGGGACTGTGAGCATCCTATTTTTAATCCCCAAATGGGTTTGCCCAACATATGGATACATGCATACATCTCACTTAATACAGTCCTGGAATCTAGCCCATGATGTACGTGTGCCCCACACCCGTCCTTCCCGTCCTTCACATAAAACAGTCACTTGTATTTGTTTCCTTAAGAAGGAACAGGCCTGAGAAGCATGCTGGAATTTCCCCGGAGTTGTAAATATGAAACATTCTCAATAAAAAAAACTCCATAAAGGAAAAACACCCTCTCATCATTTATTGTGCCGGGAAGATGCCTTTGATGAAACATTGCCAAGCGCACAGGGATTCAAGGGGAGTGGTGTGCCTCTTTAGACAAACCTTACCCAGAATAGTGTCAAAGCCCCAAAAGGCTGAAGGACAATTGAGGGCCACTTTGTCCCAGATGAATGACACTCCATTGCAGTGCTACTAAGCCATTTCTGAAACCTAAGGTCCTTTAGAGAAATGCATAAAACAATAAGAATCTATAAAAAAAAAAGAGCAGAAGAGGATGGAGCTAGGGAATGGGCTAGTGATATTGTTGGTATAGGGAACTCCCAGGGGAGGAAATGCTCTCTACTAATGCAGGTTGGTGCCTTCTCTGAAATGTGTAGTCTTAAAGAACTACCCAGGCACTGAGATGTTTAAGCGACACAGCCTGCATGGATCAGAAGCAGTTCTTGAATTGTAAAGCCAGCTGTCTAGTCACTGAGAAAGAAAACCTACCTTAGTCTTTGATTGATGCCATGAGAAGCTAACCTCAGATCTCTGATCTCTGAACAAAAATGTTTGCTTCCAACGTTATCCAAAGGATTCTCAGCCAAGTCTATGTTGGCCCAGATGACCTCAGAGCTCCCCTCCAGCTGTTAGAGTCTGCCATTTTTATAATTAGTGTTGAAGGAACTGGTGGGTGTTTAGCAAGAGGAATTGTAGCTACCCATGTAAGCTTAGGTAAGCCCTTTGGAATAGCTGAGCCTCAGTTTCCTTGATTGTAAAATGAAGACAGCTAGACAAGATGGCTTCTAAAATCCCTTCCAGCTCTAAATCTACAGAGTTAAGACTTGGGAAGAGCAGAAGGACAATCTTTAAGGATTCACAGCCAAGGAAACCAGGACTCAGAAATGCCAATTAATTTGTGTAAGTCACACAAGAAGCAAATAGCAGAGGTAGAATTTCTCTCCCCTAGGGCCAAATACCCCCAGTGCCATCAGCGGAGGGATTCAAGCAAAAGCTGGCTGTTTTCTTGTCAGAGGATGTCATAGAGTGTGGGGTTTGTCCAGGCCTCAGTAGGACTTGAAAGCCTCTGGGGTCTCCTACAATTCTAAGGTCCTATGATTCTGTTTTTGGCTCCTTGGGGCCACTGGAGTTATTAAAGGGAATGACACAGAAAGCAGCTCACTGACTATGTTATGGGCCCAGAGCTCTAAAACATGTTTTTATAGCTCGGTGAAATTAGAATTAGATGACATATGACATGAAATAGAGCTGTTTGCTCAAACCAGGTGAATTGTACTTTTTTTCCATAGACAAGCCATTTTCGAATTACTGCTTTGGACTCTTTTTCATTTTGAGGACAAACTGAATCTTCAGAACAGATTTTGCTGGCCGTTACCCTCCCCATCATAAATCTCTCAATCTCCCAGCATAGTGCCTGGAACCAATTAGGCAGCTAATAAATGTCTGTTGATTGATTGATTCCCACTAGAGTTAGGGACCACCTACCAAAGTGTTCTGGGAAAGCTTTTTTCTGCTCTCCACCCCGTGTGCCTTTTTTCAACCTCTCTGCGCTGCCCAGAATCCCACAGATGGGATTTCATTTCTTTGGTACAGGATTGTTCAAAGAAGTAGGGCTTTTGGAATAGAGTGTTGAGTAGGGGGGTTAGCAAGACAAGGGTTTGAATCCTACTCCTGAGGTTCACTGGGTCCTCTTCAAGAATGAAGGACAAACAACAACAAATGATGTTCTGGTCCTGAGC